AAATTAAAAAAAAAAAAAAAGAAACTCAACATTGTACCTAACAACCAGGAATTGAGGGCTGAAACCAACAAGTTGAAAGTTAAAGGAGATAAAAATAAAATATTGCATTTAAAACAAAACCAAAGTGACGCAAAAGAACATAGGAGAAAGCTGGCTTATAAAAAAGATTTGGAGGTTATAGTTGACCTCAGTTTCAATATATGCCCAAAGTATAAGAAGACACAGAATATTAACTTGCAATTTTTTTGAAATATCCTTTCAGGATCAGCGACGATAACAGCCAAAAAGAGTCTTTGCAGTTCTCGGTACCGTATGTTTAAGACTTCGACAAACTAGAAAAAGTGACCCGGGTAATGAGTTTAAATGCATGCCAAATGAGATCCTTAGCTTGGGGTGTGGAAGGGGCTATGGAAGACGTGATAAATTTTTCAAATATCAGAAAACCTGTGATGTAAAAAGAGTGAATTCCTTCGGTGTGAAGGACAGAATAAAGGCAAAGGGGTGGACACTGCTGGGGGTGGAAATTACAATGAACGCCTCCTGCAAACAAGAGGCTTATACATACAGAAGCTGTTTTAGTGATGGCAGCGGCAGCAGGGTGGTTATTCGGAAACAAGAATCCTGCAGGCACTAAAAGCCCAAACATGAATGGAAAAACCAATTCCTACCTTTTAGCCGTATATCAGGACACGTGGTATTAAGGATGCTGTTACCTGTCAATATTCCCAGCTTCAAAAGGGAGGTAGAGAATAATGTAGAGAGGAGGAAGAAAACCTGAATCTATAAACCAAAGAGAGAAAAAGGCCAAAAGATAAGAAAAAGGCACACATTAGCAGGAGGCAGATGAAGAAGAGACAAAGGAAGAAGAGAAGGAATCCTTTCCTTTTGCTTTCTGTTATTTAATCTCTCCCATGCCTGGTTAAAACTACATTCTTGCTTTTGTGTTTTCAGCTGTCATCTCCTTCTTGTTAAAGAATGGGCACAGTTTGGGGGCACCTGGGTGGCTCAGTCAGTTAAGCGTCCGACTTCGGCTCAGGTCGTGATCTCACAGTTCATAAGTTCGGGCCCTGCATTGGGGTCTGTGCTGACAGCTTAGAGCCTGGAGCCTGCTTCTGATTCTGTGTCTCCCTCTCTCTCTGTCCCTCCCCTACTCACACCCTGTCTCTCTCTTTCTCTCTTTCTCCCTCAAAAAAAAAAAAAAAAAAAAAAAAAAAAGAAGAAGAAGAAGAAGAAGAAAAAGAAAAAGAAAAAGAAAAAGAAAAAGAAAAAGAAAAAGAAAAAGAATGGGCACAATCTGGAGGCACCTGGTTGGGTCAGTCAGGTGAGTGTCCACCTCTTAATTTTGGCTCAATTCATGATCCCAGGGTCATGGGATGGAGCCCTGCATCCAGCTCTGTGCTGAGCATGGAGCCTGCTTGGGATTCTCTCTCTTTCTCTATCTCTCTCTGCTCCTTCCTATCTCATGCATGCATGCTTTTGCTCTCTTTCTCTCTCTCAAATAAACTAAAATAAAATAAAATAAAATAAAATAGACTAGGAACAGTCTGGTTCAGTGAATTCCAGAACACTTGGAAATTTAAGGAGGGAATTTTAGAACCTCAGTAACCACAAAGTGTGCCTAGTAATAAACATTCCAAGATATTGCACAAAGCAAGAGTTTAGATGTACTGATGGAATATGAATTTATAATGAGTCATTAATGGGATTTGGGGACACATCCTGTAGAGATAATATCACTGAGCCCACGCTTCTCTGTTCTGTAAAGAGGCCCTTGGTTCTTTTCCAACCATTAAAAAAAAAAAAAGCTAAATGCCTAGTGGGCCAGACCTAGTCTTGAACTTCCAATGTTTCCCACTCTTTCTCCTTTCTGAGCAACTACCTTACAAAAAAAAAGTGTTTTAGAGTCGACAAAGCCTGCCTTTGTCTACGTGAGCTAGAGTTCCCTGTCGTGGTGAACAGAAAGTTGTAGCCTTGGTTTGTTAATTTAAACCTAATTAAACATAATGAGTAGATAAAACAAGGAGCTTCACTGGAAGATAAAAAGGAATGGGACTGGTGTGTCATAGGCACAAGTATGTCTTAGCTGATTTCAAAAGATAGAAATAATTATCGATACCTGACAAGAAGCAAATGGCCAGTTGGTCAGTAGATTATCACTTCTTGATGGACATTAGATGGTGTCAAATCCTAGATGAAGTCACAACGATGGTTTTACTTTGGATCAATCCGGTGGTTTTGGAGGAAAGGGAGGAGGACTCACTTCTCACAATGTTCATTCGGAAACTGTTTCTGATATTATCTTGTTCTTTGAAAGATGAAAGGAGACTATGCAAAATATAAAGTCTTCCAAACTAAATTGTCCTTGGCCATATGAATACACAGGTGTCATTCCTCATGGTCTTGGCCTGTATCAGCTGTGACTTGAATAAAATTGTTAAGCTACTCTATCTATACTGTGGACCTGTTCCGCCAAAGAGAGAGAGAGAAAAATAAAAGGAGTTGTTTCACAGGGGGAAAATGCTTAAAGGAAGCAAGAGAGGACTCTGGCCTGACGCACTTTCCCCTGAAGAGTGAAAAGGAGTGTAAAGCTTAACAGTTGTAAAATGGCTTGCAATAGTGTCATCGTGTGACGTGCTTTCACACTTGATGATGCTCTCTGTTACTTTCTTGTGGCTGCTACATCTATAACATGTGCTGAGACATCTTCCCATTACATTGTTTAACTATAGATAGTAAAAGAGGCAAAAATGAAGCTTCTCCCCAAAACTTGGAAATAACATTGTCCTCCAAGGGCCAAAGGGTAGGATCAGTCATCACAGGGCAGAGAAGAAAGGTACACTGCTACCCGTAAGAGACAAATGGCTCCCAGATTGTCAAAACTGACTGTTAGTCACTGGATAAACTATCACAAAAGAAGAAATATGACTGTCCACGAGAAATCGTTGTATACACTGGGTTCAGTGTAGGAAACTGGACTCACGGTCATGGAACCCTTCCCAACCATGGACCCTCTTCCCCAAGAACCCTGAAGAACTGACTGTGCCTCAGTCAAGAGGATGAAGAAATTGAGAAATCGCCATTGAAACTTTGAAATTTGAGAACATACCTTGATAGCCATGATGCAAGGGTCAAAAAAGCTGCCACCAGTGCAACTAATTCTCAGAGCAGAAGACTGGATGCTGGAACACTGTGGCTTATTCCCAGAAAGCAGCCCAAACCATCATGAAATAAAAATGGCCTCAAGCCTCCTGTCTCTCCCAAATGTCACACAAATATATCTCCCTGAAGGAACCTACTTCATCTCCAGAACCCTAATTATAGTTAGAGGGGAGAACAGAAATGGTACCCAGCACAGAAATGTCTACTAGGAGGTGTGAAGGGATGTTCAGAGCCAATCTGCCATGGCCACATTCTGATCACAGAGATGGATGCATGAAATTAGCTCAGTCTGATTTCTTTCAATATTTATATCGAAGAACTCTTTCTGATTGGATTCCATGTTCCCAAGCAACCATCTGATTATAAGTTTACTTCCTGTCTTCCTTGCTCCCTGGGAGAAAATGAACTGGCCAGAGGATCCTAGTCTTCTCGGGACTTGTGGTTTACATTTTAATTACCATTATTTCCTCAGTGGTAAGATGCTGGTTATATGTATGCCACTCATTTCAAAAATGTTGAAGTGTTTTTAAAAATGCAGTTAAGCATCTAGGAAATATAATAATAAGTTTCCATCTTGATTTTACAGCTTATTCTCTAAGGCTAACTAAATCTATTTTGAGAAGCAGATCCATTTGCATTGTGTTTGTATCTTCTGGTTTCCAAATCAACACAGCTAAAGGCCAGACCCTGGACCGTGGTACTTGGACCAGGACGAGGGTATACCGTGCGGACCCCTCTTGGTGGCCAGCCCATCTTGAGCGGATGACGTACGTGTCTAGCCTTTTTCCACATTGTCTTGTCCACTCAAAGCCATAACACTTTTAAACTGATGTCCGTGTATTCAATGAATTTCAGTGAGGGCAAAAATGCAGGTCTAATTCAGGTTCCTCAATAATTCCCTACCTTACATAAACAGAAATAACACAAACCTCAGAGGCAAATGTTTGCAAAGTATGATGCAGTATTATCATTGTTACTTTACAGCTTCACAAGTATCTCAAGTAATGAATAGCAGTGGTACAATAATTGCAAGTTGGAGATAGCGTATAAAAACAAGATATAAAGTCAATTGACAGGCTTAACGATCTAGGAAATATAATGGAAGTTATCTCACAACCGTCACCTGTGCAGGTAGATGTGTCTCTTCTTTAAATAAATGGGAGTCCATGGGTTCAAATCCCAGCTTTGCCCCTTCTGCTTCTCATGGCTTTCGGCAAGTTGCTAATGTCAATGAATCTGTTTCTTTCCCGGAAAACAGAGATGATGATATCTACCTCAGAAAGTCATGGTGAAGATCAACATGGAATAATATAGATAGGATGCTTAGCACAGAGGTTAGCTTAATGTAGACTAGCTATTGTTATAGTTATTAGTAAGCACATAATTGTTTGGGAAGGAAGCGGACACACGGCACAAACACGAGAGAAGGATGGACTATCATTCAGGGGAAGAGAATATGTACCTACAGTGGAAGAAGTCTGGAGTGGAGACTACTCTGCCCATGTTGGTGAACTTAATAAAGAACTCCTCTAAGTGGCCTGATATGGCTTTGCAGGTGGGAAGGAAAAAGTTTTCTAGGAATACTGGCAAGGTGTGGAGCAGAGACCCGTTTTGTTAGGAACCTTGACGCGAACTACGCGAACTACCTCCCACACTGCAAATGATGAGAACATCTTTCGTGAATCAGCTATCAGAGGACCCAGTGTGACTCTGGTCCTATTTAAACTTGTCTGGCAGAAACCCCGGGATGTCCACTGGCATTTGCATTTGGTTTACAGTCTCAAACTAGGTTTAGGTGCAGATACCCCTTACCTTGAAGGATTTATCCCCGTCTTACTTACCTAGCTCTCTGTGTGGCTTTCCCTCCAGTTCTGATGCTAATTGGAAAACCTGTATTCTCATAGGTGTTGTTTTTCAATGACAAATTCATAGCAGGGTTTACAAATGCCTGCAAAGGAACCAGAAACAAAGAAGGCAGAGGAAAAACACAGGCACAGCTGAATAAAAACAGAAAAGCAATCAGAGCCCTGGGGTCAACAGAGACTTGTATGAAAGAGGATCCGTCTCTTACATTGATCCTTTCTTCCTTAGTTCTCTGTTGTGTGCTGATTGCTTCCCATGCCATGGCTCCTTCCAGATGGGGGAAAGTGCTGGGCTGGCCCTGAGCATAAGGGAAGTCATCTCCTCTCTGATGGGTCAGACCTGGGAAGTGTTATGGCCTGCAAGTCTGTGAGAACATTTCCATATCACCTCTTGCCTATTTCGTGCCTGGCCACAGCTATGGCTGTCCTTGAAGTGATTCCTAATTCTGTATTTGTCGCTCTGGTTCTCTGTTAAGCACCTCAATCTGACAAGAGTAAAACCAAAACAAGCATCTTAACACCACTAGCCTTCCTCCACCCAAAGATAAGTTTTCATTACTTTATTCTTCTAATTTTACCATTTCTTTCCAAAGACCCACTATTCCTTTAGTTACACAGACTAACACCTTCCAGTCACCTCCGACTTTGCTAGCCCTTATCGCCCACAATGAATCGACAGTCACCAAGTCTTCCCCTTTGATGTCAAGATGTCTGTTAAATCCACACTTATTTGTTTCTACGGATGCCATTCTAGCTGAAGCTTTCAAACTTCTTACCTGAACTCTTCCCGGCTCCTAACTTGTTCCCTTTCCTTCTATTCTCCATGATCCCACCCATCCTTGTTGCATTGTCAGTTTGACCTTCAGATCACACAAAACCCTGATTGTGCTTTAAAATGTTCACATGCCACCTATCCCCTACCCCCCAGCTTATCAGTAAACTAAAAACATCTTAGCCCAGGAGTCAAGACCCTCTGTTATCTGGCCCCTTATCTTTCTAGACGTTTATCTTCCATGATTTCTGTACCTCAATCTAAATTCCATTCAGACTGAACTATAAACACTTATCTCCCTCACCCCTGGGGTGGGATGCCTCCGTAATGGGTATTTTACACTGGCTTCTAGAATGTTGCTAATGGATTAAGTGTGGTCTCCCACAGTGGCGACTACTTTGCTGGTACACTCTTTCTTGGTTGTTTCCTTCCCTTGCCTCACTCCCCTCAGTCCTCCGTGGGCAATTCCTTCACTTCCTATGGTAGACTGATTGTATTAATGGTCCCAAATCTTTACCCCTCTTCATATCCCTACTCCTTGCCATGTCACTTGCAATTCCTCTCACTAAAGGTCAAAATATATTTTCCCACCTTCTGAGTCTAAGCTTCACTTCTGTTGTAGCCTTGAGAATGCACCTTACGGGCCTGTAACTATATCAAACATAACTGACCACAGGCCCTAGCCCTCAGCTGCTATGCTCTAAAATTCATTGCTACATCTGTACTGAGGAAATGCCTCCCAGAGCCTCCTTCTAGCCAATGACTGACTGTTCATGGGAGACACAAGATTCCTCTGATGGCCAACTTTGGCTTGAGGACTCCCCATTGGGCTTGCCAGCTCAGGTTTAGATTACAGGACCGTCTGGGACACTTCCATCCAACTCTCCTTCCCTCTTTCATCCAGCATGATAGACCCACGGATAGCCCACTGTTTCCAGGCTCTTGCCCCCATTCTCTCTCACGGCTGATTTCTATAACAACATGCTAACAAGTTTAATCCCATCTTAGCAATCTTGGCATCTGCTTCCCAGACCTGCTCTGGGACTTTGCTGTGGTGATTAGCAAATATGACTAAATCGGAGGCTCTAAAACATATTTGTTTGCTTCTGCTTGTTCTTGCCCTGTGTCATCCTCCTGAGAAGGACATGCTCTGTCCCCGGTTCCAGGAAGAAAATGAGAGACTTGTGGAGCAGAGTGAAGTCATTCCAGTCTTCCCGTCTGAGGCCTTCCCAGATCAACTGATAGCCAGTTAACCCCCGGACAAGTGAGCAAGTCCTGGCAAAATCAGCTGAGCCCGGCTCAGATCAGCTCAGTGCGGCAGCTCCCTGAGCTAAATATCTGCTTACTGTTCTATGCCAAAATACAGCACCCGTTGCTTGTCACTCAGCGTGCCTGTGTCGATCTAAAAGTGAGAAACATCCCAGATAAATGACTTGCTTTCAAATCTCTATCTGGAGGGACCCAAACCAAGACAATAGGCAAGTACACGTTATATTGTGTTTTGAGATATGCGCCCAGTAATTGAGAGTTGAAAACTTATCCTCATCTTCCAAGCACACCAGGCTGAGGAACAGAACCCAGCACTCTGCCTAATACCGAAGACAATCGGAGGTAGTGTAGAGAATCAACACAGAACTCTATATTGGCTTACCTTGGTCCTCTTAGGTTTAGAAGGAAGGCAGAGAATATTTCTGATTAGCGAGTCATGGTGTCAGCCAGTCCCCATGCCCTCTCGTGGGCTGAGCTGAATGAACTTGGTGTTAAAAGAAAAGCAGATACTCTCTTCTTTCCTACGAAAGTGCACAAGGAAACTCTGGATGTAGTAACACAGCCTTAAACGAACTGTTCTGTGTCAAACTATCAGCCCTGTCCAACCGGACACATTTCTGCCGATTGACATCAAGGGACATCGGGCCAAAATCGTTCTCTATTAACAGAAAACAAGGAAGGAGCATCTTTCTCCAGAGACATTCTGTGTTCCTACAAGTGTAGGAACCAGCAAAGCACAAGCAAAGCAGCCCAGTTGATCCTGGGAGTGGAAAAGCTGACACGCTTGGGAGGAAGTTGCTGCTCAACCCTTTCCCCAAGAGTCACTGCAGAGCAACCGCTGTTTTAAGGATGTACAAATAGATCTAGAGTAGCATTCATCGTTGTGCATCTTTAAGTGAGGATGGACACCCAGGTCAACTTGAGAGGTCCAGTTCCCAGCACAGTGCCTGGCACAGAGTAGACACCTTATACGTACTTGAATACATGAATAAATGTATGACTACCTCCAAGATCCAACAAAGTTTTCAGGGGAAAAAAAAAAAAGACTTCCTCGTTTAAAAAAAAAAAGTTAATTTTGCCATCATTGGCAGTCCATGTTATTGGAGTTATCCTGACTCGGCCACTTCCAAACAAAATTGCCTAACCTCTCTGTGACTCAATTTCCTCTTCTAAAAATTGGAGACGATAATAACATTAACTCATGGGGCTGCTACGGATAAATTGCAGCTAATATATGTTAAGTGCTGAGGGCAGTGACGGGCCTCTGGCCTCTGTTAAACGTGTTATCCGTGTTATTTCCCATTTTTTTAAAATCGAAGTACAGTTGACACACGTTGCATTAGCTTCAAATGTACAGCATAGTGATTCAACTTCTCTGTATGTTATGCTGTGCTCACCGCAAGTGGAGCCCTCCTCTGCCCCCATAATACCATCCACTATGTTCCCGATGCTGTACTTTTCATCCAGGACTTATTCATTCCTAGCTGAAAGCCTGTATCTCCCATCCCCTTCACCCATTTTGCCCATCCCCCCCTCCCCCTCCCCTCTGGCAGTTTGTTCTCTGTATTTGTGGTCTGTTTCTGCTTTTTGTTTGTTTCTTTCTCTACGCATTTGTTTTGTTTAAAGCCTTCCCATTTTTAAGTGAAAAACAGGTCTTACTTATCCATCTGTAACCCACGCTGTCAAATATTTTACTGAAGCGTGTTTCCAGTAGTATAGATAAATGAATAAAGAAAACCATTCAGGGGTTTGAAAAACAGTAAAATATTAGGATGATTTTAAATTTCTAAGTTGTGACATATTTTGTGTCTCCACTTTTCCCTAAAACATTAGTCCTTTCCCCAGCCCTAAGTCCAGAAGGACTAGTAGACTCACTCACCAAGAAGAGTTGACTGTCAGTCATTGGACACACTTGCATTTTGCACAGGAGCATCTAACCTCTCTATGCCTGGGTGGGTGGTTTCCTGTCGGTATTTGGTTTGAACTTGTTCCAGGGTTTGTGGTTTTTGGCCAGGCTCATTCTACGTGTTATCATCCTACTGCATATTTAATGATATTGTTGATTTTACAATTGGGCATATGACGCCTGCATTTCTCAGAGAGACTTCTGGGAATCTGTTCAGGTTTGCGTGTTCTTTTCTCTCTTCATTCTTACACCCTGCAAGCTCCATCAAGCCTAATCTTCAAGCTTAAAATGTTTTCTTCATTTCAAGAGGAGAAACACATTTTTGAATACTGGAATCATAAGATAAAAGATAGGAAATTCAGTTAAGCTAAAGCAACTAGGAAGCGATTTCTCTATTAGAACATAAAAATGCTCTTGCCTTATCAAGATAAAGAGCAAAACAATAAAATTAGAGAATGTAAATTTGTCATGTGACTTGAGCAGAAGCAGAATAGGAAGTCGGGAATGCAACATTATTAGAGAGACATGAAGGAAACCTCTTTAGTCCTGCTTCACCTACCCTATTAAAAAGAATGGCTTGGGGCACCTCTGTGGCTCATTAAGCATCTGACTCGGTTTCCGCTCAGGTCATGATTTCGTGGATCCTGAGATTGAGCCCCACGTGGGGCTCTACATAGACAACATGGAGATTGCTTGGGATTCTCTCTCTCTCTCTCTCTCTCTCTCTCTCTTTCTCTGCCCCTCCCAGGCTCACACTCTCTCTTGCTCTCTTTCAAAAGAAATAAATAAAAACTTTAAAAAAAAAAGAATGTCTTGTTCTCCAGGTTCTTTTGTCAGAAATCCTACTGTCATGGACATATTTCTCAAATTTATCACTCTATTCTCTATTATTAGACGTGTGGAAAGAATTAGCTTGTTAGGCTATTATACATCATTTAAACCTTAGCATCAATGTCTCTCTTGTAAATTGATTAATCTCTCTCTATCTCTCTGTCTCCCTCTCTCTCTGTCTCTTCATCTTGACAGCTAGATCACAGTATCATTTGATGAGGAAATGAGTGATAGTCTGAAATCTTCAAAAGCCACTTCATCCACTCAATAAGAATATTGCAAACTCATTCCCTCTCAGTTGCTGTACTAGGCACTAGAAATGCAAATTCTAACAAGGCACACATGCCCTAAACTTCTGACAAGTTGTCCGAAGAGAGGGCTAGACATGAAATACAATTGTTTTGACCTTAGCCCTCAAAATTCTTCTGAGCTAAATTTTTGTACTACTGTAAATAATGACTGGGTCTCTCTCCGAAGCCCTGAGCCTACTGAGCAGAACAACATCACTCTAACTTCACCCACCGTCTCGGCACGTCACCTTGGTATGGACTCCAACATCATGAACCTTCCGCCAAAACATCAAACAAACCTCTATTCTCTTCACGTTCCTCCATTTGTCAGAGGAAACCCCAGGTTCTCAGAACAATCTAAACCTCCTGAGTGAGTAAACTGTCACAGATACTATTGACAGGGTTGCGTAAGTGAGACAGGCGGTGGGTGACCCAGCATCTGAGGCATTTTAAACAGAGCGCCAGCGCTAAGACTTTACTAGTTCAACGTCTTGTCCTTTTGGGGATTTCTCTATGCCTTATCTATTTGGTATTCATTTCTCTCTTATGTGGGAAATCATATGACCACTATAACCAAGAGTTTGAACTATCTTAAGAAGTAGAAGAGTGCCATGAGATTTCAAGTAAGTGTCTACAGTTGGTCCAGTCGGTGAGCTATAGACATTTTTTATCTGACCATCCTACACGGGAAATTTTCTCACTGAGCTAAACATAGGCACTATTGCCTACAAAAGGACTTGGTTGCTTAAATTTCCATGTAGTCATCGTAGGCTCAGAGAAGTCCTACTGAGTTGATCTTACAAATATAATCTCTAGGACATTAAAGATTTAGAATCATCACTTCGTCCCTAGTTTGACAGTGCTTAGGTCGGTATGGTTGACAAAAGGATCATTTACACACACATACACACACACACACAATGATGGTTTAGGTAATAATTCCATGTTTGCATAGAACACTGCTACTTATAAAGCCTTTGAACATTCATAATCCATTTCACAGAGCTCTTACCACAAAGCTTTGATTTTGGTAATACATCTCTATTTTTTTTCTGGTAAGAAGACTGAATCTCAGGGAAATAATATAATGTATATTCTTACTTTAGGATTTACAGTCCATAGGACTGTAAATACCTGAGCAGCAAAAGTCACAGGTGAAAAGCTGCATAAGTTCTTTATATCAAGATAAATTTGGAGGTTCATGTTTAAGAAAATATAAAATATAAAAACCTGAACTCAAGGCGAATAAATTAGTGGGATGATTATTCACTTTATTTTTTTAATATTTAAAAAATTTTTAATGTTTAAAAATTGTTTAAATCTTTAAAAACTTTTTGATGTTTAAAAATGTTTCTTCATTTTTGAGAAACAAAGAGAGACAGAGAATGAGCAGGGGGGGCAGAGAGAGACAGAGACACAGAATCCTAAACAGGCTCTAGGCTCTGAGCTGTCAGCACAGAGCCTGATGCAGGACTCAAACCTACAAACCGTGAGATCATGACCTGAGCCAAAGTTGAACGCTCAATCGACTGAGCCACCCAGGCACCCAACTTTCTTTTTTATTATTCACTTTATATAAAAAAGAATTATTGTTTTGTATAAGGAATTACATAGAATTTTTTCAGAAGTATCAAGCATGTTAAGTTTGGTTTTACTATCTAAATTTTATATGCCCACAATAACATCAAAAAAATGCCTACTGAGTCACAGCTGTCTCAAAAGTGTTCGGGTTCACTACTTGGAAGGTCACTTAGTGAAATACAGTTCTTACATTTAAAATAACCAGTTCCCGGGTCACCTAGGTATCTCAGTTGGTTAAGTGTCTGACTTCAGCTCAGATCATGATCTCATGGTTCGTGGGTTCTAACCCTGAGTGGGGCTTTGCATTGACAGCTCAGAGCCTGCTTCAGATACTCTGGCCCCCTCTCTCTGTCCCTCCTCCACTCCTGCTTTCTCTCTCAAAAATAAATAAACATTTAAAAAATGAAATAAAATAATCAGTTCCCACATTTAAAAAATAAAATCCTGCTAAAAGCTATCTTGAGATACTAAATAAACAAAATTGATCATTAGTGTAAGACTGATTAAATAGTTGATATTTTAAGTAAGTTAATCTAAAAGAGACCAGATAAATTAAAGTAGCATAATTTATAAGGTGAGTGACTGTTCTTAATATGGTAAGAAAGGGATTAGGGGGAGAATCACCACCCAACCCCAGATGCTAAAGCCTCTGACTCATCAGTGGGAAATGTACCCACCTATGGGCTATGGAACGCTGAGGAGAGAGTGAGGTCAGAGTGTGGATTTTGTTAGCTCACCCTCCCATTTTTCCAAGAAGGTTCTCAGCTAATGTCAGGTCACTAACTTTTATGAGCTTTGGCAAATCACCAAGACTAAATATATGGTTTGGTCATGTAGACCTATGACCTCATCATCAAACCACCGTCTGGGTGATAAGGCCCCCCATTGACACTGACACATGGCCTTCATCTGTGTGTTCTGCCTCACTATTCATCAATTCATT